GTACTTACTAAAAATACCCTTATAAAGATCTTTTCACAGTATCTAGCTCTGTAATCATTGTTTCCCCGTTCCTGGTTTCGCGCGGCAACGTTGCGCAGCTACTTATTAGTATAGAAGTTTACCAATTTTCTAAAAGAGTACTACGTATGTATGACCCTGTGTAATAATTGGTTCTATATTAGCTTTATCTTGTTCGCCATATGAGGTAAAATATGTGGTACGACGTATATACGTATCATTTTACAGATAATTGCATAACAGGCGTTTACTGTATTACCTCTCCGATGTGACCATTTCCATTTTCCTAACAATCACTGACATGATCATTTCCACGACATATCCCTGTATTCACTTCATGACAATCACTTCCTCTTAAATCTACTGCATTATTCAAGCAGGCCAGCATTATATCCGCTTGCCTGAGTTTTAAAAACGCTTGAACTACGGGAATCTTCCCCAGCGTAACCGTCAAAAAAAGCTAGAACACGTGATTTTTATAGCTGAGATATGCTACTCCGAATAATATTTTTTATTACGAAATTATGAATGATTTGTAATAGCCTTTATTATTACAATTAAATATTCGTATTAATATATTTTTTGCTTATCTGCATTTTTTTTCAACATTCTTTTTTTTTTATTATATCTGACATGGATTCATCTTTGACCGATCCATATTGTAATGGTTGCAAAAAATTTAAACCTATTAATGAATTCATAGAAAATGATAAAAATAATATACCTACTAAATTTCTAATTTGCAATTGTTGTTGTCAAAAATCTTCTAATAAATGGAAAAGATCTATAACAACCGATGATATTCTATTTAATGACGAGTTAGAAATTGTTGAATTGGATTTTTTAAGTGAAAGTGTTGCAGAGATTTTAGAAAATACACTATCAAATTCAGATTTTCATTTCCATTGTGAAATAAATATTAGAAATTATAATAGTTCAAATAAAGATCTAGCAAGTGAAATTATTGAACAAATTGAGAATGTAGACGAATATAATTGGATTTATAATTGTCAATATAATAGTAATAAATTAAGTACTTACTGGTATATGTGTTCTTAATAGGATATTTTACAAAAAAAGCCATGCAAAAATCCTGATAAATTAAAGCAAAGAGATATTACATCAATGGAAAGATTTGAATATAGAGATATCTTGAAGATTTCAATTAACAAAGCTAAATACTTAGCTAAAGTAACACTTCATCACAAAGAATTGCATAGCAAACCGATAAATTTATCTACATCACAATATATAAAAGATTTTATAAAAGATAATATAAATCTTCTTCCAAGAGAAATTTATGCTTATCTAATTAATAAAGATCAAAATTTATTATTAATGATTAGACAAAAGCAAATTCATTATTGGTAGGTAGAATTGGAACAAAATCAGTATAGATGACATAATAATGCAGTAGAATCAGCATATCTTTGGCTTCGTGAAAATCTGTATAATATTATATTATATGAAGTAGAACCTGTTTGTTTTTTAGCTTTTGATACTGGAATGCTTAATCAAATACTTCAATTTAATATTAATATTAATGAACTTGGAATCAATGCTACTTACAAGACCAATAATTTGGGGTTTGAGTTATACGTTTTACATATAGAAGTATATAGTACTGGTTTTCCACTATCATATTTATTTCTTGAAAACAATGGTGATGTAATAAGGGTGTACAAACAGGTGTCTTGCAAAAATTTTTAACTATATATCAAGATAGAGGATTACAACCCAAATTTTTTTTAACTAATAAAGACTTCACACAGATTAATGCAATTCATTTTACATGACCACAGTGTAAGGTTCAATTATGCAAGTGGCATGTTAAAAAAGCTATTAATACAAGATTATCAAATAACAAACCTACTAGATCTTCAGGCTTTAATCCTCTTTCTGAACTTGAAAAAAGATTTCTATTTGATGGCATTAAGCAGGCAGCACAGTTCTGCCCTAAAGATCTTCGAAATACTGTATTGAGTATTATAAAAAAACACTTGCATTTACATCCTTTTATTCCAACAAACAAAGGTCAATTTTTAATAGCAGATTTAATTTATGAGACATCTGTTCAGGAAATGTACACATTTTGTAAAAACAATTCTTTAATATCACTTTGGTTCTATTTTTGGATTGAGTGGTATAACGAATCAAAATGGAAGTTATGGACACGATCGTCTTGCATAGACATGATTTCTATTTTAAAAACAACTATGTTTATTGAAGGTCATTGAAAGGTAGTCAAAAGAGATTTCTTGTACAAATTCTTTTGCCCAAGAATAGATTTAGTTGTATATACCTTGATAAAACAAGTTGTTATACACCAGCAATGTAAATTACAACAAATTCAAATTGGACATGAAAGATCCGAATGGGTAAAAGATTTTAAATTCGAATGGAAAGAATTATCTAAACGAAATATTAATCAAACATATACTACTAATATAAATAAATAGATCTGTGGATGTCATTATTATTTGACAAGTCGGTTTAATTTATGCAAGCATTTAGTGCATCAAAAAGAAAATGTTATGGTTGAATTTTTTAACAATTTAAAAAGAATTTCACAACCTCCTTTTTTAATCGAAAATTTATCATTCCTTAACATTATGAATAACAATAAAGAAAATAACTATTCTAATAATAATTATAATAATTTGATTATAAATAGTAAACTAATTGAACCAGTTGAACTAATTGAAGAACAAGTTAAGGAACCCATTGAAGATATTTTTAATAATTTGATCAATACGACTAGAAAAGCACTTACTATTCTTGAAGAGCAGAAATTAGCTGAAAATATTAAATGGTGTGAAACAGTAAAAAAGTCTTTTGAACTAATTTCTAAATTAGTCGGGGATATTGAAAAATATCAAAGGAAAAGAACAATGCCATTGATATGGAAAGGTCATACAGATAATACTCACTATTTGCAATAATAATTATTTATATTCATCTTGCATTTATTATAGATCGTATGCATTAACTGTATTCTCTTGCATTATTTAAAACATACGTGTTATGTATTTAATTATACTTTATGCTTTTTTATATTTCGTGATTTCAAGATAATATATATTTTATATTGTTGACAATCTTTTTTAAAAAAAAACATTTCATTTAACTCATAACAATACCATAAAACAATTTCTTTTTTATTTTGCGAAATAATTGCAATTATAAGCTTATATAATAAAATTCGTGAAATACAATATTAAATATATGTCTTATTCGAATCGATTAAAACCTATGTCTAAGCCACATATCATGTGATCGAGTTTTTTTTGACGGTGATACTGGGGGAGTTAACTTTTTTGGTGGCGATGTTGTGTTCACGAAATTTTGCGATTTTTGACTAGGATTTCTCATCATAATGTCAGCTGACATTAATTTTAGCCGGAATTAACAACTCGTAATGCTCGTCGATCTATGTAATTTTAGTCAGATCGCACGAACGGAATTGTATTTTGTCATAGAAAATCATCATCCTAACGCTAACACGGACACGAAAAAATTCCATTTGATTTATTAAAAAAATTTCATTTCAATTTGTTAAAAAAAATCATTTCAATATCCTTTTTATAGCTGTGTAAAAGTTCCCCCTCATTTATTCATATAGTCAATTCTCCACAAGTATGCCTTTCCTCTTAAGTACAATTTAATTAGAATTTTTAACTTCAAATAATATATTGCAGTCAAAGTACTTATTATCACGCATTATAGTCAAACTTTTTTATAAGTACACATTCTATTTTCTCGAAGTATTCTGAATAATAAACTTATGGAAAGCCACTCTTTGTAACTCTACAACCTTCTGACTAACTTGCCTATATTTCATTTCCTTGATTTCCTCCGAACTTTTCCAAACTTTTCCAAACTTTTCCAATGTTCCTAAGTACATTATCTAGCCTAAATAAGCATATGGGTGAGTACACAGCAAACCATGCTTAGAGTATATATAATACATATACTCTAAGCATGGTTTTGCTGTGTACTCACCCATATATTACTCTTGATTTACCCGAGAATTCGTTGCTGTTAAAAATTACATTTTATACCATTTTATACTAAACATTCATTTGATTCATATCTATGTATATGTTTTGGCTTAATTTGGATTTTAGTTCGAATGATTGTGAAAGTTGCACCAATCAGGTCTCTGGATTTCCAGGTCAGGTGTAACTTGAGAATCACACTATTTTGAGGAATTCATATATTACTGTAATCGTTATTGATATAAAGCTTTATCTTAGAAACAATGGATGATCCAAATGCTGATACGGAATGGTATATTTTTGCAATTAATTTTTATTATGCAAGTCAATATATCTCAATTCATTCATTTTGATTTAATAATGTAGGAACGATATTCTTCGTGCTCGAGGAATTCTTCCTCCAAAAGAGGGTCCGACAGAAGAAGAAATACTAGAAGCCATGGATCAAGCTGTCATGGAAAAACAAGATAAGCATTTGGATGATAAAACATTGGATGAATTAGATGAATTAGAGGACGAAGAGGATGAACGTATATTATTGGAATATAGGTAAAGTTTTAATTATGCTACGATAATATCGTGCAATAAACCTGATGTATTTTCGTTTTTTTATTATTATGAAGACAGAGAAGGATAGCCGAAATGAACGCTGAAGCTTTACGAGCTAAATTTGGTGAAGTAATTCAAATATCGAAACCTGATTTTGTAAGAGAAGTAACTGATGCTAGTAAAGAAGTTTGGGTGATAGTTCATTTGTTTAAAGATTCGTGAGTATATGTGTATATTTATGACTTTGCAAAGTTGCAAATAATTTATTCTCATAATTATGATTAGTATACCAGAGTGTAAACTCATGAATTTACACCTGTCTACTCTTGCCGCAAAACATAAGGCAACCAAGTTTATAAAGATAATTGGTGATCAATGTATACCAAACTATCCAGATAAAAATTTACCAACTCTACTGATTTATGGCGAAGGCGACATGAAATTACAGTTGATTGGGTCAGACAAATTGGGTGGAATAAACATGAGCCTCGAAAGTAATAATGCTATTTTTTTTTTCACTTACTATAAAAAAAAAACTTGTTCTAATTATTTAATGTATTGATCTAATGATGGTTGATTTAGGGCTCGAAGATTACTTAATTTCTTCAGGCGCTATAGGTGTCGATTAAATAAATATAACTATTTAAGTTCCTTCTTAAACATTTAATTAATGTATTTCTTCGAAAAAAATATAAATTTTCTTAATACAATAAATTGTCATCAAAATTAAATTACTCATTGAAACTAATTGGTTTAAATCATTACAGAACATATTTATTACATAGCTTTTATTCAAAGATGGTAAATAACTTTTTTACTATTCTATTCTTTGATTTTTGTTGAAAAATTTCATGACTAAATTATATAGATATAAATATACGTATCGATATCGTACGTATAAATATTACTGTATTAGCGAATTTTATTAAATTCATGTTACACTTGGTCTTTGAAATTTAATTGGCTGTGTATAATTTTTTTGTTGTTCTCACACGATCTGCACTTAGTTTATTACTGTATTATATTTAACAGTTGCTTAAAGATTTCATTTTTTTTATAATATAAAGATGGAAAAACCAGATCCAAAAACCATTCCACAACAAATAGACTATAAAAAAAACAATTACAATAATTATTTTCTTCGAAAACTTAAAGATCAACCTTTGATACCTTTCGGTATGTGTCCAATTTATTTCTATTTTCAATTAAACTTGCAAAACTAATTAATATTTTTTTTGAAAAAAATAATGACTAGGCATGACTTTAACAGTTTTAGCCCTACTTGGAGCAACAGTAGGATATCAAAGAGGTGACTCGAAAACTATGCAGAAATTTTTAAGATTTCGTGTATTTGCGCAAGGATTTACTGTAGTAGCAGCCGTTGGTATACCAGCTTATTATCAACTAACTCGTAAAAAAATTTAGGGGTTTAATTGAGTGAAGTAAAATTTTACAATGTTTAATAAAGTGAAAAGTTTAGTAACGCATTTATTTTATCACTTTATTAGTCTGTAAATTGTATATTTATTTTTAAAAACTAGTATTCTCGTTATTATTATACTTTTATTAAAAAAATTAAAGTTTTAAAGTTAACCAATCAAAAATTCCACTCGATATCAATTACTATTTGACACGTGATTAAATAATCGAAATAAATGGATCATTAGGTAGAATTTTCTTTTACATACGACAGATAAAATTTTACGTTCATAAGAGAAATGACAGATCAAAACGAAACAATTTCAAATAGTGAGGGTGGCTCTTGTCCGATAGCAGAAACTCCTTATTCAACTTTGTCTCCGGAAATAAAAAAGCGTATAGAGGAGAATCGTCTCAAAGCAAAGGCCATACAACTGGAGAAGAAATTGCAGAATGGCTCCGATCGAACTTCTCAAACACTAATTGACCAGCAAAATACAGAATCGACGACTAGCACGAACGCAAGTAATAGTGAGGAAAAACTGCGCCCGATGAAAAAATTTCAGAATTATGTGGATTATGATTTTTCTAAAATGGAAAATACACGAGGTGGATTTTTACTTGAAGATTCAGTTGAAAATTCAAAAAAACGAAAGCTGACAGAACCCGAACCAGAAGATCCACGTTAGCCTTCTTCCCTTGATCTCAGTTATTAAGAATCTTGTAGTATATCTTAGCTCTTAAATTAATTTTATACTTATCTAGCAATCAATCCTATTCTTTCTGAAAATCCGAGATGCAAAGAATGTAAATCTGTAGAAATAGATTATCAATTTCATCGGACATTTCGCATAAATATCTGCAAAACTTGCAAGGAAAAGTTTCCTGAAAAGTATAGTTTACTAACAAAGACTGAGGTAAAAGAGGTAAATCTCAATTCTTCATTTATAAAATTCATTTTATGAAATTAGTAATTAGGCTAAATTTTTATTCACGGGCTTTTAGGATTACTTATTAACAGATGGTGAGAATATATAATTCACTTCGTTATTGAACTTTTCAACTCCTAATAATCGAATATAATAGCCGAATTAAAGGATGAAGAAAGTTTACCACATTTATCAAAACCAAATCCACATAAATCGACTTGGAATGATATGATGTTATACCTTCGGGAACAGGTACTGTTAATTGATAACACGGTATTTTGTCTTGCATTACAGTATACAACTAAGATCTTTTTTTATAGGTGGAAGAATTCTCCTTTAAAAAATGGGGTGGTGCTGAAGCACTTGACAAAGAATTTGAAAAACGTCAAAATGAGAAAAAAAAGAGGAAGGATAAAAAATTTAAATCAAAACTTGCAGGTAATGTGATTTGTAAAAAAAACTTTTTTTTTTTTTAGAAATCTCGTATCATAAAAAATATAAAATTTATCTTTAGATCTCCGAAAACGTACAAGAACTGAAGAGTTAGAAAAGAATAGGTACCGAGAACATAAACATGAGTTCGGAATGGCGGTTGAAGATCCTGAGACTGGAGTGTCAACACAAACATGTAGTTCATGTGGGATAAGCGTCGAAGTTGTTTTGTTTTAAATAATTCTTATTATTTGAAGGTCATTTCTATAACTTGCATTTTACACTTAATTAAAAACTGACAAGCTAGTATGCATGCGGAAGATAATGAAGGGTATATAATGCAGCCCGGTTATTACCAGATATAGATGATTAGGATATCAAAGAGGTGGCTCAAAAACTATGCAGAAAGTTTTAAGATTTCATGTATTTGCGAAAGGATCTACTGTAGTAGCAGCCGTTGATATACCAGCTTATTACCAACTAATTCGTAAAAAAATTTAGGGGTTTAATTGAGTGAAGTAGATTTTTAAATGAAAAATATCATATTTGGTAAAAGAATTGCAATTAAAAAATTCTCAATTTCTTTCAGGGCTTACAAATCAAAATTTCATCATGAAAACCTAGTTTCAGAAAATTTTGTTATGTAATTTATTATACATATACTCTTCCGATCACTATCAAGATCACGGGAGGACTATTCTTACCAATATATTGTAAATCATAAGAATTATAGATAGAATTGTTATTCATAAATAATATGTATAATATGTTTCAAGAGTTAGTTTATTATTATTTATTATTATAAAGACAAAATTTTCAAAACTTATTTAGACAATTACTATTTATGCTCTTATTTTTGCTATTCACATCCCTTATCTTTATAAAATCAAATATAATTATACAGTCGTCCCTCATTAATATCAACCCCGTTAATATCAACCTAGACTATAAACCCAATTTTTCTAAATTTTTATATATTAAAATTTCCTCATATATATCAACTTTAATATAATCCCTCATTAATATCACTATCAACATGAATTTAAACCAATCCAAATAGGCTGATATTAATGAGGGACGACTGTATTATATAAAAGAGAAATTATTGGCATTTTTGGCAGTGATGTCTAGCTTATACATTTCTAACTTTAAAATAATAACTGTTTATATGATTTTAGTTAAAGTTATAGTAATATAGGGTTAGGATAAAGGTGTATACATTAGAAAATTTCGAAGCCTGATTATAATTGGTTGCAATCAATTAATCAATTATAATTGATTGGTTTTAAGCATTTATAATCAATGGTAATGTTGATAATTAATTAATATAAAATATATATTTTGTACTCAAATGCAAATCTGTCTTATATGCAAATTACAAATCATTATAAAAATCTAAAATATTACTATGCTAAATAGTAAAATTCAATAAACATCTTAAATAATAATATTGTAATTATATATTATGATTTTATACATTTTAGTTATTTATATGTTATTATAATTAATATAAAATATATTTTTAATTTTATTAATTCTTATATTGAACATTATTATGATGACAATAAAATACTACAAGTTGTATTTTTCTTTTGTATTTACGATAATTTTTTAAGTAATCACCTTTGCAAAGACATTTTATAAGTTATATAGCTAAAGCTTTGTTGAATGAGTATTTATACAAGGGATGAAATATTTACAAGTTTAGGATATTCTTTAAAAGTTTTGACAATAAAAACCAATTCAGTAATTAAATAATAATTATTTAATTTTCTATATTGGTATTCTAAAATATATATGTTATTCTTGATAATTTCTAACACTTTATAATGTACGTATTAGTGATCAATATCAGTATAATGAACTTTAAAAATTCAGACCTAAACCTAAACCTAGTTATCATAAATAGTTTATATAATATATTTGTAAATTGATATGGACTAGGTGTTAAAAAAAGAGACAAAAATGACTATTTTTTCAAAAGCAATTTTTTTATATATCAATTTAAAATAAGATTAGAATCATTTTTCTATTAAAACACAATAGTAATTATATTAATAAAATTTTGCAGTATAGCTCTTTAAAGTTTGCATTTTCTATCGATTTCCGAAGATCTTTTTTTTTGTCAATTTCGTCCCTTTTTTCCAGCACCTAGCCCATATTATTATGTAACAAGGGATATAATTTTTATATAATTTGTAACTATATCAAAGATTAGACTGTACAAAAATTTAAATATTCGTTGAAAAGTTACAATTTTGAATGATTTGCACTGTATATAACTATCACAAAAAAAACTTGATTTTGGGTTTTTAAATTTATTATTGACCGAAATAAACCTCTGCAAGAACTGATTAGTAATTTGTAATATGTAATAGAATCAAGGTTTCCGATTGGTTCGCCGAACAATTAGAACTTTTTTTGTACACGTGTTTAATACGTTATTAATTCAATTTTTCAGGGTTTTGAGTTCGACAAAAAATATAGGTATCCTTTGACATCACCTATATACTGTAGAGCATTAACCTAAAGACACTTTTTTGAGTACGGAATGTGTATGTATTTGAAAATTTTCTTACAACACAAACCACCTGCAGTATAATATACCCGAGTCATTTGTAAAATTTTTGGTCAATACTCTACGGTAATAGATAGCCAATCTCATTCAAGCAAAATACATCAAGCTAGGCTTGAACTATTAAGTGTAGATATATTTTTATTATCTATAAATCAAAATTTATTTTTTTTTTATTTACCAAATCATTCAGACATCTCATCAATTTCGTCACCACCTAATCCAAATTTTCTAAGACAAATATTACTTCCATATTCCAAGTATTCAGAACGCGTAACTAATCTTTCATTAAACTCTGGCGTGGAAGCAAATTTTCTGCCGCCATGCCATGCGTATGTGATAGGGCTATAAATAAATAAATAAAATAATAATATAAGCATATATGGTCATTATTATTATAACCAAATGATAAAACTAATGATAATTGTATTTTACTCTTCCGGCATTCCGACTTTAACCTCAAATTCTGATGGTGCAAGCACACGTAAGTCTTTTTCACTGATAAAAAAATAAATAGACATATATGTATATATATTAAAATAATAAGTATACGCGTCCAATAAGAAAAATAATAATAATCGACTTACACCCTCTCTTTGTATCCGGCGAATAAACTGTTTCCACCGACTAATACGATATTTCCATAAAATAAACCATGCAAATCTACATCATTTACAGGAAAAGGAAACATGTCTAAACTCAAATTGATGAATATAAAACCCAAATTACTGTCGTCAGTTACCACCAAATAATCCTTATTACTGATAAGAAACGATTTTTTGATTTCCTCAGATAGGCTTATTTGTAGCAAGCAACAGCATCCCTCCGTCTACCCGATGAAATCAAAACAATCAAAATAAAACAAATGGTACCAGGATGAGTGGCATTAATTGCCTCTACTATCACTTCAGGAATTCCCGCTTGGTTCATGCCTATAAATAATAGAAATAAGACATGAAAAATCTTTCATTATAGTTTTTTTATATTATGACATGTGAAAATAATCGTACCGATGTCAGATGGGTTAAATAATATTTCTGGCACTGTGAAACGTTCATTATTCATGTATAAAACTTGTTCGTCCGATTGATCATATGATTCTACACCGCGTTTTTTTTCCTTTAAATTAGAAATACAAGATTAAATAATTTGTAAAACGCTAAGGTTTTTACTATGAAACAACGGTCATACCCTAATATATCCTTTGGTATTCCTTGAAAAATCTGGAAGCACATACTCTTGAAGAATCGGGTTATCTCGTGTATTTTTTCTGTACAAGATATATAAAAATTTAGATCTTTAATGCGCAATTTCATGATTTTAAATTTAGAAATAAAGAATGTTCCTACCTACATGTTTCGAGATCCGCAAAAAAATTTTGGGAAACGTAACATGTTTCTTTAACTTCATTCATAACATAAGTTTGATCCATCATATCCCAATATCTAAATTTTAATCCAGAATATGAGAATAAATAAAGTAAAAAATAGAAAATATAATGAAACATACCGAAATGACACAATTTCTTTAAGATGGTTGGTCAGTAATTTTCCACCAATATTGATCCTATAATTGAAAAAAAATTTCTTTTTATTGATTATACACAAATAGTAATATTATGATTGACTATTAGCAGACCTTCGAATAGCAGGAAGAATAGGTCTACCCATGACAAAAGGGACAATATGAGTAAAAGAATAACCAGAATCAACAACTAAAACACAATCCGGAGGTTCAGCAGGGTTTTGTGGCCTATTTGGATAAAGACTTGACGTATCATTTTGAATGCATAACCATGGGGCTGTATGAAAATTAATTAAAATAAGGAGAAATATATCAAAAGAAATTCTAATGAACTGATAGATATTAAAAGATTACCGATTGTTCGGCAATATGATTGAAATTCATATACTTCGAAAATCATTTCATCATATGTTCTTTGAATATTCGGCAAGTTAAAACATGGTTCCGTAATAAGAAGGCTGGTTTTTTGCGGATCGCACTAAGAGTAAAATAATTTTATAATTTTTATTAATTGAATTTAAAAAAAATTGACTAATCAAGGATATACATAAGACGTACATCAAGTATATCTTTTGAAAATATTCTATCCCAAATACCCTTTTCAACTTCCCAATTCGTAAGAAAACCCTATTAAGAGAACATTTATTTATATAACACGGAGTACAGGTAAATTATTAAATTGTTATTGTTTTGCTACTCCTAAATTACAATATACTACAAAATGATACTAAACTTTTTCAAAGGGCAATCTATAATATAATCCGGAGAAGTCAGTGCAAGAACTAATTTGATCACCTATATAAGTTTTTTTATCCCCCTTGCCGCGTGTTACTCTACAGTTAGGAACAATTCTGCGAAAAAAGTAATAGCTATCAATTTATGAAAAAACTCGGATGAAAATCATAGGACTATGAAACTTAAACTACCTCGGTTGTTGTGAAACGATTGCATAACCGGCTTTAATGGAGCTAGCACCATTATCGAGCACTAACACTTTTCTTTCTGTCATGTTTTTTCTGATTTATCTTCGCGTAATTATGTAGTTAGATCTCATAGGAAGAAGATCGTCTAATTGGTCAGATTTGCATTGGTCCAGCACATGATCAAATTCATTTGATTGGCTATCAATTTTTCCAAGATTAAAAAGTTCACAAATTGGTTTTGTCTTAATCCAATCACAAATAGGTGCCGTCAAGAACCACATTTCGAGCTTTCAGGTTATTCTTTACCGGGTTCCACCCCTCCAACATAACCAAGATCTTTTGTGAATGTTAAATTCAAAAATCCTATTGACTGATCGCCATAATCCTAACCAATCTAAGGGGTCAGCTAAAGCGGGATTTACTAATTTACCCCCCACCATCTGATTGGGTGATGATCTTCCTATCGCTGATTGGACAAAATTGATTACGTAACTGCACATGTGGCTTGGACGTGATCGACATGATTCATCAACTCAATACATCCAAGCCGATCGAGCTGTTTTGCATCACAAGAGTCAGTTAATTTTTATTTTTTCATTTGACCAAAATTCTTTTGCATTTTCTTTTCTCAAATGTTTATGTTGCGAATTCATAAAAAGGTTAATTTATTTCATAATTTGATCAAAATCGTTTTAAATAAAAATTTATTGACAGACGTTATCTTTTTCATTTTATTTTTTAAGCGTGTATGTTGCAATAATAAAATAATACTTTTTGACGTGTTTATTATACATGTGGTCGAAATTATTTAAAGTATTTTGGCTTATATTAAACTGTTATTATGTATATACGCGTGGCCGAATATTTAAGGATTGTAGTTTCAAATAAGCTGCAATAGTTTCGGCCACATGTATAAGTATGTCATAACTAGGATGATGGCAAAACGCAATATATTGGGCTCTTTGTATGGTGCATAAAGTTTGGGCATTAAACGTATATGGAACAATAAAGCAGTTACAAAAAAAAAAAAAAAAAAACTCATCGAAGGTTTAGCGAAAAGATTAGATCTATCAAACTATCACGTGGTCCACGTGTTTGATCATTTGATCGGGATCACAGCAGAGACTTGTGAATTGATTAGTTAGTGACATATAAATAAATTACGAAAGTTAATCGAAGCATAATGAGAATGCATTAGAAATATCGTAATTAATAGATAGTAAAATAGCGTGATTAGTAAGTTAATTTGAAGTCAAAAATTGTATAATTAAAATATGATGTAATTATGATAAAGAAAAATATGTATAAAAACAAACCTTTGACAAATGCTTTTGTTAATAACAAATCCATACAAGTAATTAATTACTTACTCAAAAAATTAGCTTTTGAGTGTCAAAACTTCTTCGTATTTGCTTAACCTTTTCATTTTTTTTAAGTGTGTACATTGCAATAATAAAAATAATATTTTTTTAACATGTTTATTGCTCTTATGAAAAGATTAATACTGTAATATGGTTGCTTAACCTAACTAGATTCTAAATATTTGTTTAATAAATATGTCGTCGCCAGTCAAATCAA